TTTAAATCAAAGACGATTTAAAACCCAAGTTTTCTTTCTTTTCTTTACTACACAATATTTTTGTTGTCTTTTTAGTTAGAAAAGAAGACAGAATCAAACCAAAATTATTCGAAACCAAAACGGTAGATTTCGGATCTAACTCGATTCCCAAATCAAAACTGAAAGAAAAACCAAATGCTCTCTGATTCTATAAAAAGATTGAAAAATGATTTTTTTTTTGTGGGCCATTCACAGCTCAAATACCGGGCTGACAAAGCAATTTTTGACCGTTACAATCACATTATTCGAAATAATCCCTTTTTTTTTTTTCTTTCTTCTCCGAGTGATTAATCCTAAAGCAAGAGTGAAAGTAGCAATTAATCTCTACACTTTGAAAGCTTAATTTTGACCAACACACTCTCAGTCTAACCAACAGCGATTGATCAGTCATAAATTTAATCACACTCGAGAACTCTTCTTCTTTCTTTCTTCTGGGTTTTAGGGTTTGGATAGCGAAGGAGACAATCTTCAGATTCCGAGGGAAAAAAATGCCGGTATCGACCCGATCTAAGGTGATGAATCAGGAGCAAAATGAGCAAGAAAACACGAATCTGAATCTTCTTCCTTCGAGAAATCCACATCAAGGGTTAAAGGAAAAGATGAGAGCTTTAACTCTCTTGTACGAGCAACAAAAGAGAGCCTCTTTCTCTCTCAGGAACCCTAATCAGTCTCCGAAACTCCAAGATCAGAGATTCAAGACTCACCAGCTGCTTGATTCTCGCAAGAAAGGAGACAAATTTGACGGTAAAGATTCAAACACCAAAGAGAACAATGTAGCAAACGCAGATCGGATTTTCGGGTTTAATTCGGTTCCAGTTAAGCCTACTGGTCCGTCTTCTGGTGTGATTAGGAAGCTCTCGATGGGTAATAATGGAGCTAGAAACGTCACGGAAGCTGAAAAGGGTGAGAAATTGGAGAATCTTGATGCTTCCGTGAGTCGGATTTCGGTGTTTGTTAGGCTTAGACCAATGGGGAAAAAGGAAAGAGAGAATGGTTCAAGATGCTGTGTCAAGATTTTGAATAAAAGAGATGTTTATCTAACGGAGTTTACCAATGATAATGACTACCTTAGGCTTAAGAGGCTCCGTGTTCGTCATTTCACTTTTGACTCTTCTTTCCCTGAAACCACAACACAACAAGAAGTCTATTCCACAACGTAAGTGTCTATTCAATCATCTCTGTCTTTCTATAATGCCTTGATGATGATGACATTAGCAGGAAATTGGAATCAAAATGCTTTTCTTTCCGCTTTGATTTATTCAGAACAGGAGATCTTGTTGAAGCAGTTCTTGAAGGAAGGAATGGTTCGGTTTTCTGCTACGGTGCTACGGGAGCAGGCAAGACTTATACAATGCTAGGGACAATGGAGAATCCAGGTGTGATGGTTTTAGCAATCAAAGATTTGTTTGCTAAAGTTAGACAGAGAAGCTTAGATGGGAACCATGTTGTTCATCTATCTTATCTTGAGGTTTATAATGAGACTGTTAGAGATTTGCTTTCACCTGGTAGACCTCTCATACTCCGCGAAGATAAACAGGTAAACATGAAACTGAAAATCACTGTTTTTTTTTCTCTTCTAGCTTTAGATAAGAACACATTGTTCTCATTCATTTGCTTTTCTTTGAATTTGATCGAAATTAGGGGATTGTGGCTGCTGGTCTCACTCAATATAGAGCTTATTCCACAGATGAGGTGAGGTTCTTCTTCTAACCTATACATTTTCATCTTGAAAGATCTTGAGAATCAAAACCTAAGCTCTAAGTTTTTTCGTATTGGTTTATTGCAGGTTATGGCTTTGCTCCAAAGAGGAAACCAGAACAGAACTACGGAGCCAACTCGTTGCAATGAAACATCTTCTCGCTCACACGCCATCCTTCAGGTTAATATTTCATCTTTCTCAGTTTCAGATAGAGCAAATCAATAGTATTATCAATTTTGAGGCCTGATTATGATCTCTTGTTGGGATTCTGTAGGTCATAGTGGAGTATAAGACTAGAGATCCTTCCATGAATGTAATCAGTCGAGTGGGGAAGCTATCTCTCATTGACCTTGCGGGCTCAGAAAGGGCGTTAGCAACTGATCAAAGAACGCTTAGATCCCTTGAAGGAGCCAACATAAACAGATCGCTTCTTGCATTAAGTAGTTGCATTAACGCGCTTGTGGAAGGCAAGAAACATATTCCTTACAGAAACTCAAAGCTCACTCAACTACTCAAAGACTCTCTAGGCGGCTCGTGTAACACGGTGATGATTGCTAATATAAGTCCAAGCAATATTTCTTTTGGTGAAACACAGAACACTCTCCACTGGGCTGATCGAGCCAAGGAGATTCGCCTGAAGGGATGTGAAGTAAATGAAGAGGTGGTTACAGTGGGTGAACCAGGAGGGCCTGATCAGGCCAAGCTATTGTTAGAGCTTCAGAAAGAGAACCGTGAATTGCGAGTTCAGCTCGCGAAACAGCAGCAAAAGCTTTTGGCTCTTCAAGCAGAGACCTTAGCAGCTGCTAATAACAACAACATTTCCCAGACACCTCCATCAATCTCATCTCTAATGACTCCACCATCTGCATTAACAGCTCAGCAGAAGAAGAAACCGAGGCATTCGTTGTTATCAGGGACATGTTTCACACCAGAATCATCCAAAAGGACAAAAGCAGAGGAAGTTGTGAAGGAGCTTCAACTAACTGTTAAGGCAT